TTTTCATTAAATGTTTAAAAGAGAATGCACCAAAGAAGTCCTATGTGCCTAGAATTTTTTCTGTGGAAAAGTTTTTTTTTCTTTTTAAAGATTTTTTAAATTTATTCATGAGCGACACAGAGAGAGACAGAGACATAGGCAGAAGGAGAAGCAGACCTCCCTGTGGGGAGCCTGATGTAAGACTTGATGACAGTTGCAGCCCTGGTGGCTCAGCGGTTTAGCGCCGCCTTCAGCCCAGGGCGTGATCCTGGAAACCTGGGATCGAGTCCCATGTCGGGCTCCCTGCATGGAGCCTGCTTCTCCCTCTGCCTGTGTCTCTGCCTCTCTCTGTGTGTCTCTCATGAATAAATAAATAAATAAAAACCTAAAAAAAAAAAAAGACTTGATGACAGGATCAAGGATCACTACCTGGATCACTACCCCCAGGATCACTACCTGACCAAAGGTAGTTGCTCAACCACTGAGCCACCTAGGCACCCTGGAAAGGTTTTAAATTATAAATTGAGGGGTGCCTGGGTGGCTCAATTGGTTAAGTGGCTGACTTTTGATTTCTGCTTAGATCATGTTCCCAGCATCCTGGGATCAAGCCCCACATCCAGCTCCCTGCTCAGCAGTGAGTCAGTCTCTCTCTCCCTCCTCTTCCCTCCCCCTACTCACCACTCTCTCTTTCTCTCTCTCTCTAAAATAAATAAATCTTTTTAAGAAATAAATTACAGGGATCCCTGGGTGGCTTGGTGGCTAAAGCCCCTGCCTTTGGCTCAGGGCATGATCCTGGAGTCCTGGGATCGAGTCCCACATCGGGCTCCCTGCATTGGAGCCTGCTTCTCCCTCTGCCTGTGTCTCTGCCTCTCTCTGTGTATCTCTCATTAATAAATAAATTAAATCTTTTTTTTTAAAGAAATTACAAATTCAATCTCTAACAGCTATAGGACTATTCAGATTTTCTATTTCTTACATATTTTTTTAAAGATTTTATTTATTTATTCATGAGAAACACAGAGAGGGGAGAGAGAGAGGCAGAGACACAGGCAGAGGGAGAAGCAGGCTCCATGCAGGGAACCCTATGTGGGACTTGATCCCGGGTCTCCAGGATCACGCCCTGGGCTGAAGGCGGCGCTAAACCGCCAAGCCACCCAGGCTGCCCTCTTACATATTTTTTTTTTTATAAAATTGTATTGCTCAAGGAATTTGTCTATTTCATCTATCATGTTTATTAGTGTAAAGCTGTTCCCAGTATTTTTTCTTTCTAATATCTGTAGGATCTGTAGTGATATACCCTTCATTCTTAATATTTATGATTTGTGTCTTCTCTTTTTTTCTTGATCAGTCTTTCAAAGGTTTTTCAATTTTATTCATCTTTTTCAAAGAATCATTCCTTTGTCCTTTGGTTAAAAATACCAAAGGACAATTTGTTCTTGTCCAATTTCTGTTCTGTTCAATTTCCAATTACTTTGTGGCTTTTCTAAATATAACATTGTAAAAATTTAATTGTAAACAATTATATCTATTTTGTCAGGTGAAATTCTGTATTTCATTTCTTTGAAATTTACAATATATAAATGATGGGCTAGCCTTTAGTCTGTCTTAGTGAATGTTCCATGTACACTTGAAAATATATGTATTCTGTAGTTGTTGAGTATAGTAACCCTAATGTCTATTAGGACAAATTGATAGTGTTGCTCAAATCTTCCATTTCCTTAATGACTTTTTGCCTATTTGTTCTATCAGTTACTGAGGAAGAGAGTTGTTAACAAGATTTCCAGCTTATGGGGACACCTGGGTGGGTCAGTGGTTGAGGTCCTGCCTTCAGCTCAGGGCATGACCCGGAGTCCTAGGATTGAGTCCCACATCGGGCTCCCTGCAAGGAGCCTGCTTCTCTCTCTGCCTATGTCTCTGCTTCTTTCTATGACTCTCATGAATAAATAAAGAAAATCTTTAAAAAAAAATTTCTAGCTATGGTGGTGTTGTATACTTCTCCTCTTTATATTTTGCAGTTCTTTTACTAACACTATAAAGATTTGGAGTTGTTATATTTTTGTTGATGAATTGGCCCTTTTACCATTATGATATGATACTCTTTATAGTAATACTTCTTGTCTTAAGGTCTACGTAATCTGATATTAATATAATCATACCTCGGGTTCCTGGGTGGCCCAGTTCGTTGGGCATCCAACTCTTGATTTCAGCTCAGGTCATGATCTTGGGCCCATGAGCTCAACTCCCACATTGGGCTCTGCACTGGGTGTGGAGACTGCTAAAGATTCTCCCTCTCCCTCTCCCCCCTTTCTCTTAAAACACACACACACTAACATACCATCTTTCTTAGTGTATTCTTGTGTTTTATGTCTTTTTTCATCCTTTTACTTTCAACCTGTGTCTTTATATTTAAAGACCGTGTGAGTAGTGTTTAGTTGGGTCTTGTTTTTTAATATGGAGAGTCTTTTCCTTAAACTATTTAGTCCAATGTTATTATGGATATAACTATGTTTAAGAGTTTCTCTTGCTATTTGTTTTCTGTTTGACCTCATCTTTTTCATTCCTTCCTTTTTTGGGGGTTAATCAACTATTTTTTTAATACTCCATTCTGTATCTTCTATGGTTTGTTTTATTTTGTTTTGTTTTTTAGCTTATGTGTGTGTGTGAGAGAGAGAAAGACAGAGAGAGATTGTTCTAGGGAAGATTTAGGTTCACACTTAAACTAAAAATTATTCTACCTGCAATGAGCCAGGCACTGTCCCAAGCACAATTCTATGTGGTCATTAGGCTTATTTCTTTCAAGTTTCAAGAAAATTGCTCCATGGGTTATAGTATTCTAATGAAGGACATTAAACTGGAAAGTTAAACATGTTTCAGTTCAAATCCCAGCTCCAATGTGTATATATTTTGTGAGCTTTAGTTTTCTTATCTATAAAATGAGAATGGATGTTTTATTTTTTTAAAAGACTATTTATTCATGAGAGAGAGAGAGAGAGAGGCAGAGACACAAGCAGAGGGAGAAGCAGGCTCCATGCAGGGAGCCTGATGTGGGACTCCATCCTGGGGCTCCAGGATCAGGCCCTGGGCTGAAGGTGGCACTAAACTGTTGAGCCACCCGGGCTGCCGAGAATGGATGTTTTAGTGCTACTTTATAGGATCACTGTAGAGATCACATGGAATAATTTCTATAGATGTATTATGAAATCTGTTAATTCTAAACATGTTAAGATATTATTTCATGATTTAATGAAAAGACTAATTTAATCTCCTTATGCCTATATAAATTTCAATCCTATTTCCTCTATCATCTTTCTAAACTGAAAAACTCTTCTTTCTTTGATACATTTGTCTGTGATATTTTCAGTTCTTTCCTTATGCCATCTCTATGATTAGAATGTACCCCTTCCACAACCACCGTATCAAGGCATACTTCTTTGTGCTCATACTTCAAGACCTAATTAAAACAGCATGTCATTCTTGACAACTTCCCACTCATATTTATTCACTCACTCTTCTGAGATCCTCAACTCTGTTTTATCTAATCCTATTGTAACTATTTTTGCCCATTCATTGATCTTATCTGATTAAAAAGCTCCAGGTACTATTTGGTTCATCTCAGTATATCCGGTGTTGAGTATAGAGCCTGGTGCAGAGTAAGTGTTCAGTAAACACCTCTTGACTGAATGAAAGGATAGAGCTTGACAAATCAGGGAGGGAGGGCTTTTTGTCTCTGAGCCTCAGTGCTGAGTGTCATCCCCATGCAGATAGGTAATAGGTGGAGCCCAGTAGTCGGGCTGGTATTTACCAAACTCCCACTTTCCCATTTGCTAAAGTGGAAGTAACTCAAAAGCCACTATCCTTTAGTGTTGGATTAATGTCCTTAAACACTTTACCTTTAATATCCCTGGGAGAATCTGGGAAGACTTTATGGAATGATACGTTTTAAAGCATCAACACAAGTTTTTTTGAGTAAAGTGGGAAAGGAGCTCAGAAAAAGGTGGATTCTTTTTTTTTTTTTAACATTTATTTATTTATTCAAGACACACACACAGAGGAGAGAGAGAGAGAGAGAGAGAGAGAGAGAGAGAGGCAGAGACACAGGCAGAGGGAGAAGCAGGCTCCATGCAGGGAGCCAGATGTGGGACTCGATCCTGAGTCTCCAGGATCACACCCTGGGCTGAAGGTGGTGCTAAACCGCCGAGCCACCTGGGCTGCCCCAAAAGGTGGATTCTTATGGAATCTCTCCACAGTCCAAGTTCTGGCTTGGTGTACAAGTGTTTTCTTCTCCCACCGTATCTCTTTCCACTCTCTCACCTGTTACACTTCAGTCATACTGAACTACCTTTAGTTCTCCAGGTGTTTCTTTCCTCCAAGCCTTTGTACATGCTATTTCCCCTGTATTTGGAATGCTTTGTTCCACCGATTTCCTTTAACCTGGCTAATTCCTGTTTGTCCTTCAGGTCTCAGTTTACATCTCAGCTTACCTCCTCTGGGATGCCTTCCCTGACCACTTGCCCCAACCCTCTAGGTCTGAATTAGGTGCTCTTTCTATGTGTTCTCACAACACCCGGAACTAATGTCCTTGTAGCACTTGTAAAACTATTGACATTTCTTTTTAGTCTCCTATATTTTTCACTAGACTTGGCATTCCTTTTTTTTTTTTTTTTTTAAGATTTTATTCATTCATGAGAGACACAGAGGGAGAGGCAGAGTCACAGGCAGAGGGAGAAGCAGGCTCCATGCAGGGAGCTTGATGTGGGACTCAATCCCTGGACTCTAGGATCACACTCTGAGCTGAAGGCAGACGCTCAACCGCTGAGCCACCCAGGCGTCCCAGACTTGGCATTCCTTAAGGCATTGGATCTTCTATTATTCCCAGGGCCCTGAAGGATGCTTGGCACAGAGTAAACCTCAGTAAACACTTTCTTAATGAATTAATAGGTGAATGAATGAATCCTCCAAGAGTGCCAATTACAAAGGTTCAAAGAACAGGTAGCTGGTATACTCTCTCTTTCCACATCCAGCATTCTCCTGGTGTGCAGCCTGCAGATGTGGAAGAAGTTGTCAAGAAGGGTGTGCAGACCCTTGTGATTGGCCGAGGGATGAGTGAGGCCTTGAAGGTAGGTATCAGTGAGCACAGCCTTCCTGAGGACAGTTGGTGACCTCTTGGACCTTTACCTTAGAAATATGTCCTTCTTGGGAGCTCATCTCAATATATCATGCATCCTCATTTTGTTGAGCCAGTGGATGGCCCAGGATAAAATAAAGGATGTTAGTACTCTTCATCTGGGTTGGATGCTCCAGTCTCTACCTAACCCTGGGCCTGTGCTGTTTTGCCTGGAATTCTCAACCTCTACAGCTGTCAGTATTTGGTTCTTTAGATTTTCACAGTACCTCACATTTTTATAGTACTTTTTATTTTTTCTTTAAACACAAGTTATTCATTTTCCCTTTTCAGAAAAAATATTTTTATTGTACTTACAAATACATGCTTGTTTAGCAAAACAGTTCATGCAGAAATGTTGAAGTAGAAAAGTGAAAGATCCCCACCCCATTTCCACATTTGATATATATTGCTCCAGTTCTCTATGCAGCTGCAAATATACACTCTTATGCATACAGATATACATGTATACACCCACAATCGTTTTTACATAAATAGGACCACATTGTACATATTGTTCTGTAACTTCTTACTCATGTTATTACATTGTGGACACTCTTTCACACAAGAGAGATTACAGAGATTTACCTCATGCTTTCCTTTATATAGATGTCGTAAAATCTAGTTCCCTACTGATAAAGGTGCCCTCTAGTTATTTATGTATTTTTTGTTTAACCTATTTTTCCCATTAAAATAATTCCTTTCTATAAAGCTATTGTTTTTATAAAATTGCTCAAACATATAAAAAATATAGGGCATTTAAAAAATATTTCCTTCTGAGGCAGAATCTAATTAAAATCAGTTTAAAATAATATTCAGCACAAGCCAGACTTAAAAAATATATCCAATAATAGCTGCCATTATGGAGAATCTTATATAAAATTAATTTACAACTCTTTATTAGTGCCTTCTATGGGTCAGATACTCTTCTAGGCACTGGAGACAAGATAAGGTTCATGGCCTTGGAAAATAAAACAGTAGACAATTTCAGATTGTAACAAATGCTGTGAAGACAATGGTGACTTATGAGTGGCTGCTCTAAATAGAGTAGGCAGGAAAGGCCTTTCTGAGGAGACATCTGAACTGCAATAGTTAACTTCATCCTCACACCACCCCGTGTATATATTATTATTATTATTATTATTATTATTATTATTTTAGATTTATTTATTTATTCATTCATTAGAGACACAGAGAGAGAGGCAGAGACACAGGCAGAGGGAAAAGCAGACTCCATGCAAGGAGCCTGATGTGGGACTTGATCCGGGGACTCCAGGATCACGCCCTGAGCCAAAGGCAGATGTTCAACCGCTGAGCCACCCAGGCGTCCCCCGTGTATATATTATTATCCCCATTTATAGAGGAGGCAGCTGGGTTGAGAAACCTTAGGTTGCTGGCCTATATGGCAAAGTTAGACGTTAGATTCAGGTTGGACTGACTCAAACATTCAACATTTACATGCTAGGCATTTTATATACCTTAGCAGAATTCGTTTTCATACCAGCCCTGTGAGCTAGGTATTATCCCTATTTATAGACATGGAACCAAACGGTCAGAGAATTGAATTCACTTACCCAAGGTCACAGTGTTAGTCAGACTTAAATCCAAGACTATCTGATTCCAAAATCCATCCTTTTCCCATTTCCATTTCACATGAGCTTTGTGCATGCATGGTACTTGGCTAACTTCTTAGAAGCTTTGTTGACTCCTTGGGGCTGTCAAATTTTGGACTGGTGACATGCTGGGTAATTGAGGACTGACAGTTGTTATTGTCTAATTTTGGAGAGAACCCTTGCCTCATGGCAGGAAAGGAAACCCAGGAGGACCTTTCCCTTGACTTACTCATCTTTTTCCCTCTTCCCAGGTGCCTCCATCAACTGTGGAGTATCTTGAGAAACAAGGCATTGATGTGCGGATCCTCCAGACAGAGCAGGCAGTGAAGGAGTATAATACCTTGGCTGCCCGAGGCATCAGGGTGGGAGGGGTCTTCCATTCCACCTGCTGATGGAGCCTTAAGGAGAATAAATCCCTAAGCAACAATGCCTGTGACTATCACTCTTAGCACTCTCCACACCGGCCTCCTCAAGTATTTTTCAACAGCTGTTCATACCAGGACCTGTGCTAGGCTTTGGGATGCATGGATGACTAAGGCCCAATCCCTATCTGGCAGGGAATTAAAATTAGGGGAGAAGACAGATGTTTACCAAAGTTTAATACACTAAATGGCCAGAAATAAGAAATAAAGGCAAAAAATAAAGCCTTCTGCTTTAAAGGCCAAGAAAAGTTTCAGTGCATTAAGATTACATTGCAATTGATGCTTTGGAATGTTTAAGCATTAATTCATCCAATTTTTATTGAGTACCTTATATGCCAGGCATTGCTATAGGCTCCAGACAAGCAGCAATGAAAGTCTTATCCTCACACAGCTTATATTCTAGTGGGGAAAATAAACAATCCATAAGGTAGGTAGAACCTGTTGTGAAGAAAAATAAAGCAGAGTGAGAAGACAATGAGTAAAGAAGACTATTTCAGATATGTGGTCAGGAAAAGTCTCTATGTAGATGACATGTGAGCAGAACCTTGAAGAAAGTGACCAGAGCACTTCAGTAACAAGAACAGTAGAGCAGCTATGCCCTGATTCTAGGGTTCTAGGCAAGCTGTTCTACTAGCTAGACCTGAGCCTAGCTGGACAGTTCTCCCGGCCAAAGATTCCCTTGCTATGAAATGATGGGGCTGGACTAGATGTTCTGTAATGGTTCATAACCACTGTGGAGAGTCTTGTTCTGCTAATTGCCAGGTGTTCTTTGTGAAGCCTTAGAATAGACTGATAGAACTATAAATTATCAGCATCATCTTAGTTTTCATTCCTCCTCCTCTTTAAATAGTTATGAGTACGGGTGTCAAACAGCCCTGAGTTTGAACTGTGGCTTTCTACCACTCGCTGGTTGGGCATTTATTTAATGTCTTAGAGTTCCACTGTTCTCATCTGCCAGATAGGGATAATAATTAGTACCTGGAGTTGTGTAGGTATTAAATGAGGGTCATTCATACACTGTCTTAGGACACTACTTGGCATGTAGTGAGGACTCCATGAATTAAAACCATTGTTATTTTGATTATATATTTTGATTAATGGGTCTGCTGTCAACTAATTTCGTTTTATTGTTCGTAACATAGCTGCATATTTCATGAATTCATAGAAAGCTGAAGCCCAAAGGAACTATTCTCTCATTTATTCTCTTTCATGCCCATTTTTACTGAGTCTCTTACAAATTTTTTCTGGCCAGTTATTGCTGGGCCCTGGGAGTACAGGAATGAATAAGTTATCATTCCTGCCCTCAGGAGTTAAATTGGAAAGAAAAATCAACAATGATACAGTGTGTTAACAGTACAATAGTTTCAAGGTTCAATGATGGCCTAATCCTACCAGGATGGAAGGGAAAGTAGGGAAGACATCATTAAGACCATGACACAAGCGGAGTCTTAAAAGAATAACGTGTTCATTTATTCACCGAACAAACATCTGGCAACTTTTAGCTAACTAGTCAAGTATGTATCATAGTCATAATTAATACACTGGCCCTTACTGAAGCCACAGTCCGAGAAAGCTGGTGTTTGCTCCACGTGATCCTGTCACCTGCCTGGCCCAGTTGGACATCTGACTAGGCAGCCAACCCACAGACTGAACAGCAACTTAAGATGTGACTTGGCAAGAAAAGGTGAGCTAAGACAATTGGAATGGAAAATGAAGGGATCTTTCCAAGTTCACCCTGCAAGAAATGGCAGGACCAGGTCTGGAACCTGATGGTGTGTCTAGATCTCTACTATACACCTCCTTAAAAGACTTGGGAGTGAGGCACCTGGTGGCTCAGTTGGTAGAGTATAGTGACTCTTGATCTGAAGGTTAGGAGTTCAAGCTCCACATTGGGAGTAGAATTTAAGAAGAAAAAAAAGCCCACGGGAGTAAGATCCTCACATACCGGACACCCAGCTTGGAGGTCTGGGAAAGTCCTGTTCAGTGACCTTTCTGCAACCAGCCATTTGACAGATACAGGATCAATCTCAGATCAAGCCAAGCACCTGTGTAGCTTAGGAGGGTGTTTAATAAAATTCAGATTGTTTCTCTATTGATGCAACTGAATTTTTTTGAGTGAAACGTAACGTGAGATGATCTCCAGTGGGTGCTGAACTAGGTGTGGGTATAATCAGTGTTCCTGCATAAGTTGTCTCCACATTAGAGAGGGCTTAGTACATACTTAGAGGTATTTGGCAGTGAGTTCATTAAACTTTGTATTGAACTGGCTAATCACTCCTATTTCTGAATCTGTTCTACATGGTCATTGCTAGAAATGTGCTAGAAATGTGCCTGAAGAGAAGCTACTTTTCCACGTGACACTACACTTAGTCCCAGGTCTTAATCACTAAGCCCTTTGATTTGATTTGTAGGTAGCACGGCCTTCATTCTGCCCACACTTCATCTCTTTTAGCTCGAGTGGCTCCTAAGACAAGAATTCTGCAAGTGCTTCCTGTGTGCCCTGTAATTCTGTTTGTAGAAGTCAGTCATGTCAAAGCCAAATATAAAGTCCTTTCAGAAACTTGAATCCCAGGGCTGGCTTCTGCAGGCATGCCATGGTACTGCTAAGTTTGCTCTGGGTTCTGGGACTCCTTCACTCTCTCCCTGACTGGTATATGCCCGTAACTGTGCTGAGGATACGACACGGATGTTCTTACCGCGCAGGTACTCCAGAGTAGTTGAAAGAAATGGACGAGAACATACAGTGATGGTAATGACTTGGCAAACTGGCACCAATCTACCTAGAGACCTGTTTTGTCTCAGAGTAATTTTAACATTTATCATTTATTTTTTAATTAGGGTTTTTTTTTACATGAAAATGCAGATTTCTGGCTCTTCTGGAAGAACTGGATCTCTTACCACCAGGCCCATATTTAGAAACCACTGAGCAGAGCTGAATAGCAACTACATTCTGACAGAGGATATGTTCTCTGATTGAAAAGAATGAAAGTCTCTATTACTTTTCCTCCAGGCTGCTTGACTCCCTTTTTCCCACCTACCTTTTTAGAGGCTTCCATTTGTGAACCTGCAAAAAATACCTAAATAAATATGCTTTAAGAACATACAGGAGGCTGTTGGAACACAGAAGCAATGCACCAAGCCCACAGGAGACACAAGATACATTCCAGAATGAGGCTCAGTCCTGGAGAATGAGGAGGAGCCATAGGAGACAATCTGAGGAACATAGTCCAGGCTCAGTAGGTCCAAAGGTCTGAGACAAGACAGCATGGTGAGCGTTGGGTACAACTACAGGAATTCTGTTACCAGAGAATTACACAGCATGTGTGGCACAGGCAGGATGAGGCTGGAGATGACCCAGGCAGGAAGAGCCTTCAAGAATAGGCCTTTAAACTTTCCTGGGATCAGCAGTAGGCTACTTCAAAGGGATGTAAGCAGGGGAATGGCATTGTTAGCAGGTCTGGGTTTTACAAAGATCACTCTGCTGGCTGTGTGAAGAATGGACTGAAGGTAGCAAGGTTTGAGGCAATATCTTTAGGAAGCTAATGTCACATTTCAGGAGAGATGATGATGGCCTGCGCTAGGATAGAAACTGAGTATAAGAGGACTGGAATCAAGAAACATCTAAGGAAGCAGAATCTAAAGGACCTGACAGCTATGTTTATGTGACAGGTGCAAAAGGAGTCCAGTGTGACACACAGGTTTCTGGCTTTGACTGCTGGGTGCACGGGAGACCGCTTACAAAGAACAATAGATCTGTTATGGAAACCATGTTGGACTAAGAATCAGGAGGCCTGGGTTCCAGCCTTGGCTTTACCATGAATTCAGTCTCATATTTCATTGAATCCGACAATTCAGGGTCAAAGGAATTTAGAAGGTTGAGCCCAATCTCTCATACAATACTTGAATTTCTTTGCAAGAAATGTGTCAAGAGCTTGTTCAACTTCTGCTTGAACACATCCAATGTGGAAAATTTATCTCCTAATGCAGCCCACTCAATTCTTACATAGATTTTTTTTTTAAAGATTTTATTTATTCATGAGAGAGGTAGAGACACAGGCAGAGGGAGAAGTAGTCTCCCTGCAAAGAGCCTGATGTGGGTCTCGATCCCAGGACCCCGGGATCATGCCCTGAGCTAAAGGCAGACGCTCAACCATTGAGCCACCCAGACATCCCTCTTACATAGCTTTTAAAAACTTGATATTAAAGCCAAAATCTGCCCCTTAGTGTATCCCCACCTGTGGTGGAAAAAAATACTATATTTGGGACGTTGAAACCTAGAATAAAGTCCTGACTTTTCCCCTTAGGAGAAAAACATTACCTCAAAACCTGTTTCCCCACCAGTAAAATGGGGAATAACTGAGAAGAATTTTGATAGCAGGGTACTGGATCTGAAAAGGATACATCATAGCTTTCACCTAGAAGGCTTTCTATGGCTAGAACATGAGGGGCTCAGTGGACAGCCATGGGTCGCAATGTTTTCAGCCTAGATCCCAGATTCATTTTATCACCAGGGCACGCACTTTTGTCAGGGTTATCTTTTGACATATGAGAGTCAACTGATGTCACATTCCTGAGATACACAAAACAAGCAAGCACACTAGAAAAGCAAGCTAGCTCCCTGAAGATCTTTCTTCCTTTATCCCATTCTAGCAGGGATGGCCTTCTGGAGCCAGACTGCCTGGGTTCAAATCCCAGCTCTGTCATTTACTAGTTGTATAAGTAAGGCCAAATTACTTCATTCTCTCAACTCTAACTACCCTGCTTATGAAACAATGACAATAGTACCTACTTCATAGGGTAGCTGTGAGGATTAAATGAGTTACTTCATGGAAAAGGCTTATATCACTGCTGGGCACAAGTCAAGTACATTAAACCAAAAGCCAAACATGCTTGACTTCAAATTCCAGTGCCACCTAAGTAATTCTGTACTCTTGCTATTATTTTTATAAGCTTCCCAAGTACCACACATGATCGAGACTGGCTAGATTCAGATTCTACCAAACAT